CATAGTAGTTACGCCACTGTTTGGGACTGCACGTTAACTAAGGAGACTACCATCATACCTGTGTTTAAGTTCAGTATCCGAAGACAAATCAACAGACAACTGTTGTATCAATGATAACAAGATAGGTTGACTCAACGGACAAGGATCTTGACCAAACAGTTCCATAGGATCACACGACTGGCACACTATGATAACAAGATTTAAGTCAGCCGCTGTTAGAGCTTCTTGAAACGCGCCAGCAAAATCTTTCTCGTTGATCAGTTGCTCAATTCGAAGCTAAAATTAAAAGACAATCGTAGCGTAAGAACACCATAAATCATATACTTTTGTAGCATCTCAAAAATGTTAAACACCGAGTCAGTTCCTCACAAATCCTTCAAATCTTCGAATTTATCTCAAGGATGGCAAATCTTCTTATATTATTTTCTTCTTATATCTTATTATAAGATTTTATTTTTGACTGAATTTCTTCTTAAATTTTCTATAGCTTTGAAAAAAAACATAATCGTACTTCAATTGAACCATAAATTGTTTATATAAAAATATAAAATTGTTAGTTGTTCACCAATGGATTTGTATCATAACTGCTTGACACTTCAGTCTTCAATACTTCATACAAATATCACACAAATCACTAACATTAAATTTTTGCTTGAATGTCGAATATTCTCTAGATTATTCCCTTAAATCTTCTTATAATGAATAATCCTTAAATCTTCTTATAATGAATATTTTTTCTGAAAAAATCTTCTTATATCCATTCCTGATTTATCTACGCAACATTTCTACTGTGCTCACAGAAAGTTTGATAGTGTAAACAAGCCTTTACAAAGTGTTCGACACTGAGGCAAATGATGGTGATGATAAACCAAGTCAATGAGCTTACCTGGACATTTCTCTGTTGTGCCTGGCCTCTAGAATCATTAGCAAACGCACTTTGTTCCATCAAAACACTTGATACCTCCTTTTGTATCGTCTCTTGAAGGCTTTTATTTAAGTCTTCTTGCAGTTGTGTTAGTAATGAGCTTTGCAACCTAAATAACACGAGCAATTTTATTAGTTATTGCATTTACAGTATTTCATTAAACTCAACTAAACCATAGCTTTATTTATGCTGAATAACTCTATGAGTTCGATCTAAACTGATCTCCTCAGAGTTCTAATAATACACACGAAAAAATCTCGCATCTTGTGGCAAGTCTGCCAACAAGCCGTCAACAAGTTGTGTCTGCACTGCTTGTCCCAAGTTGTCAACAAGTCTGGAACAAAATGTTAACAACTTGTAACAACCTTGTTGATATTATCAGACTTGTTGCAAGGTTGTTCCAACAAGTCCGTTACAGTCATGATATAACAATGTTGTTACAACCTTGTGTCGTCAACCTTGTAACATTCTTGTTATATCATGACTGTATCAGACTTGTTAGAACAACCTTGTAACAAGTCTGATAATGCCATCAAGCTTGTTACAAGTTGTAAACAGCTTGTTCCAAACTTGTTACAACAACTACGAACAAGCAGTGCGAACAAAACTTGTCGACAGCTTGTGAACAGATTTGTAGCAACTTGTTTGCAGACCTGTAACAACTTGTGCGTTTTTACGTGCGTACGCAGAAAGTTATTGGTACAGTGTTAATACAGAAGAAAACCGGAGAAAATCTGTATGCGAATCAATATTAAGTTGATCAAACAATTGTTTGGTGCAAGAATCGAATCATGGTCACAGAGGTGAAAGCATAAGCGTATCTCACCCTCCGAGGACAAGCATTGTGGAAGTTTAACATAAATCAAAATCGGATAAAATGAAACAAAGTCAGGCAAATTTCTTACCCCCCCCCCTAATTTTTTTCCCTCCAGTAGGCCTACGAATGAAAGACACATGCATAAATGTCACAAGCATCCCCCAATACACACGTAAAAATCTCACATTTTGTAGCAAGTCTGCCAACAAGCCGTCAACAAGATGTATTAGCACTGCTTGTCACAAGTTGTCAACAGGTTTGGAACAATTTGTTGACAACCTGTAACAACCTTGTAGAAATTATCAGACTTGTTGCAAGGTTGTTCTGACAAGTCCGTTACATGCTTGATATAACAAGATTGTTACAACCTTGTGTTGACAACCTTGTAACATCCTTGTTATATCATGGCTGTAACAAACTTGTTAGCACAGTCTTGTAACAACTCTGACAATGCCATCAAGCTTGTTACAAGTTGTTAACAGCTTGTTTCAAACTTGTTACAACAAACTGGGAACAAGCAGTGCGAACACAACTTGTTGACAGCTTGTAAACAGACTTGTAACAACTTGTTGGCAGACTTGTTACAAGCTGTGCGTTTTTACGCGTGTACACTCGTAAAAACACACAAGTTGTTACAGGTCTGCAAACAAGTTGTTACAAATCTGTTCACAAGCTGTCGACAAGTTGTGTTCGCACTGCTTGTTCCCAGTTGTTGTAACAAGTTTGGAACAAGCTGTTAACAACTTGTAGCAAGCTTCATGGCATTATCAGATTTGTTACAAGGTTGTTCTAACAAGTCCGATACAGTCATGATATAACAAGAATGTTACAAGGTTGACGACACAAGGTTGTAACAATATTGTTATATCATGACTGTATCGGACTTGTTGGAACAACCTTGTAACAAGTCTGATAGTATCAACAAGGTTGTTACAAGTTGTTAACAGCTTGTTCCAAACTTGTTGCCAACTTGGGACAAGCAGTGCGAACACAACTTGTTGACGGCTTGTTGACATACTTGTTACAAGATGTGAGATTTTTGCGTGTGTACATGCCTCCATTACACACGTAAAAACGCACAAGTTGTAACAAACCTGCAGCAGACTTGTAGCAATGTTGTTTCAACAACTTGTCAACAGAATGTGTTCGCACTGCTTGTTCCCAGCTTGTTGACAAGTTGTCAACGACTTGTTGACAACTTGCTGCAAGGTTGCTGAGCTCAACAGACGTGTTACAAGTTGTTCCAACAACTTGTTATCGTCCTGCAATTCAACAATTTGTCAACAAGTTGTGAGTGACAACCTTGTAGCAACTTGATAAAATAACAGCGTTGTTACAACTTTTTGACAAGCTTGCTACAAGCCTGTTGACAAGTTGTGGTATTTTACGTGTGTACTAGAAGCATATCGTTCTCCATGAACTAAAAATTAAGAATTATCTCACTTTTTCATTGATGTGGTCAATTGAGTTTGCATCATTTCCAATAAACTTCCCGTCATGCTGGTTGACAGTTTCTCGGAAGCAACTTGAAAATCCTGTACAAGAATCTGGAGTTGTTCCACAATGGTGTCTTTCTGTTGTTTTTCGATGTCTTTGCGGTTTTCAGCGTAGCTCTCAAAGTTCTGAATGTCTACAGAGAAACATACTGTATGGAACTTCGAAGTTATACCAAGGGATTTTCATGTTTTTTTAAAGGAGAGGTGGAAAAATTTCTAGTGGGGTGCAAGCGGCACCACTGAGCGAGCTTCGGCAGAGGTTAGGCGTTAGGGTTAAATACTTTCATACAAAGCGAAATTTTGAAGCGAAATTTTGGTGGGGTTGAACACTTTATAAGAGGGGTTAGAGAGATTCTAGGGGGGAGGGGGGTAACCCCTCCTAGCCCCCCCAGTAAATCCGCCCATGAGTTATATATATTATTACATTGTAGGAGATAGCATCCGTTTGAATAAAATTGCTATATTCGCTTACACTGTTTCGTTCCATTCTCAAACGCCGTATTTATCTGTGAATACATCGCTCGACACGCTTTCTCAAAACCAGGTAACATCGATTTGTTGAGAAAATCATTCATAGTTGTTAACAAAGATACTTGAACTGCCTCGCCAACTGCTTTGCCTATGGCATCAAGTATACTCTACAAAATATTAATATCATTCTTACCATTAAAATTATCAACAAATCGGTTCAAACCAAAAAATCAATGTCTTTCCCAGTTCACTTACCAGGTGATCTCGGAACTCGGAAAAGGTCTGGCACTAGTTGTAAAATAGAAATCCATTTCTGGTTTAAAATTACTCAATATCTCATTAACGGTATTAGATTTCAAATTTGTCCCAGATATTCATTTCCCTGTGCAAGACACGGACACAAAGTTTCAGACAGTTTCACAAAAGAATCAGGGCGTGACAAGTGATTAAAGGTACGAAACTGGATTTCTATTCTGTTGCTCAGTCCTGTTGCTCACCGTCAGATCACCTGGTATATTAGCAAGGTTCAGATTTGACTTCCACTTCCGCTACCATTAAGGGGACCATTAACCAATCAGAGTCGTTTGAAATACGTGATTAACCAATCAGATGCGTACTAAGCCAGTGAGAGGTAGTGGCAGTCAAATCTGCACATCTCTTTTATACCTTGTCTTTGACCATCTTAGCGATGCTTTCTCTCATCACTTCATCCGCTACAGTGAGTTTCTAAAAGGAACATGCATACAGTTCAATTCTACATAGTTTGTTTGCGTGTGACTTCGAGTGTTCAACATAACATCTGTATTATACCTGTGTCATAACGGTGTTCAACTGATCCTGTAGTGAAGGAGCAATTTTTTGAAAACCTAAATTTAAACATTAAATTAATAAATACAGCCAAATTAAGTAACTCGCCCCGGCGGCTCGTCCAATTTTGGCAAACTATGATTGCCAAACATCACTCGTACTATTAATCCCTAATTGCACTCGCCATCGCATGATTACCTATACTAACAATTTTGAAACAAACAGGTTATACTTAGCCACTAAACTGGGTACGAAAAATTGCTCCAAATTACTCTTTAAACCTCGGATAAAAAGATCACGGTCGGTGATTTCAGTGACCAAAAAGTAGGTAGGGTCGGGAAACCAGAAACCCAAGGATACTTTTTTTGGCCGTAGGGAATCTTCTAACCATGCTTTCACTTACGATTTATGATCTTTCATCTAGCACTCACCTTGGCCGACAGAATTCCTTATCTCGTTTTTGACCGTCTTCTCAACCTTATTCAGCACAGCTGTGGTTATCGAGGTGGCCATTTTCTCGTGGCGTTGTTTCTCGTTGACATGCTTGTCGCGAGAGAATTTCTCGAACATTTGATCTAGGAAAGGTAAGCCAATAATGTGAGGCTAGATTGAACGTGATTGGCTCATCAAATTGAATGCAAATGATGGTATACAAGCACACGGAGATTTCTTTTAAACGATAAGTTACGTCGGAGTTCTTAAAACACAGGTCAAACGAGGACGATAGTTGGCAAGCGAGAGTTTGCATGAGAGTTTTCATCTTCTTCTTGAATGTGGAAGGGTTATCAACAGATTTCAAGTCCTTTGATGAGCCCAAACCTACCTTGTTCAGTGTTGTGTTGAGCCAAGATAGTCTCCAGTCTCGACGATATAGCATCTTCTAAAATGGCGACTTCCTCTCTCAATACTTCGGAAACTTGCACATTTTGTTCTCGCTGTTGATTTTGTAAAATTTCTCGCAGTTGTCGGATATCATCGCGAATGTCGTCCATCGCTGCATTGCTGCTGGCCGGTAGCGCCTAGAGAAGAAAGCTTTCCATTCGAATGATCACTCAGACAACTACGACATATATAAATGGCAGATGATCATGACTTACTTGCTCTCTCACAATGGGTTCTGGTTGTATATCAATCTGTCTGCGAGGTGTAACCGTAAGACTAAAATCAAGATAAATTAACTGATAGACAGATACCTTTATTTATTAAAGTCAGGGTAGTCCTCTCAGCAATAAAATGTATGCTTGTTGGTGTTTTGTACTCAGGTGAATATGATGTTTGTGATGTTACTCTGAGTGTGCATCCACACCGGGCAAGTCTGTTATCAATAGGAGCCCTGTAACTGGACAGTATATAAATTTGTAGTGGACAATTTTGTTAGTCCAAATCTGCTCTCCTAGACTTTCAACAAGAGGCCCAGTGTTACCACAGGAAACCACAGTACCCGGGGAAAACCTGCAGAGTTTGGTTGAGATGAACTGGAAGCACTAGTCTCACATGCAATTGCAAGAAACGAGCTCTTGAATTGTATTGTTTGGTGTTATGCACTCAGATGAAGATATATGTTTGCGATGTTGTTTCTGAGTGTATCCACACCAGGCAAGCTGTGGACTAGTAAATCAAATGTCGCGGGTTCAACTCTCACCGCGGTCAAGCAAACCTTTTAGCTTTCACAGTGTGGACACACTCAGAGACAACATCACAAACATAAACCGAGTTCGTGTCACTGAGGTGAAACTCACCATTCAGTTTGACATCAACACCCAACTATGAATAGTTTCAGCAGTATACACAACATGGTACACGCTGGTCATATTCAGAAAATTTTCTCCCAGTACCACAGGCTCGCATTTTCAGCGGACTTGTGCTGAAAAATTGAAACTTTTACATTTTGCACAGAACTGTCTACTTTCTGTAAGATGCCCGCTGACAATACGAGCCCGCACGAGTGTGAGTAATTTTGCTAAATTTGACCAACGTGGTAAATAACGTAAACATACTTTGTGTTTCGTTGGCTTCTTTGTGGCCACCTCTGGTCCGACTGTGTTTCCGTCTCTTCATTAGCCTGACCGAGCTGTTCAGTTACAGGAGTTTGGAAAGGGGTCAGAGCATCTCCTTCTTTCACCCTCTCCACTTCCGGTAATCTTTCACTTCCGGGGAACCCAAACTCCGACTGACCGCCACTTCCGGCCAATGCTATTTTCGGGCTTTCAGGTTTTTCATCCGGAGGGCTGAAGTCTGAGGTTTGTTCTTCGGGAAAAGATGGTCTTGGTGGAGAACTGGACAAAATATCTTGCTCTTTAGACAGAATTTCATCTTCCGCAGTCGGCGTTTTATCACTGTCAATGTCTTGGTCTGGACTACGACGTCGTAATGGTGTACTGTGAGTAAGCCCCAAAATGTTATCGTCTTCCAAAAGTTGATTCACCCCCCGTCTCTCAGTCTCAAAGGCAGGGAAAGGTACCTTAGCAGGATCGGGTGATTCGGGGAGGGGCAGACCTGGTGAGGATGTGCGTCCAAGCCAGGAGTGAAAACCACTTGGATGTTCCGAGAGCGTGACATTATCACATGTCTTAAAACTACACTCGCTCTCTGCAGTTTGTGATTTCTCTAAAGGTTGCTCGATGTTTACGGTGGATAGCGAGTTGTTCAGAGAAGTCACTGATGTAATACTGCTGGTAACGCTAACCGGTTCTGGCTGGTTTAGAGGAGTATCTTGACCAGCTTGAGAAACTGGTTTTACAGGTTTTGGGCTCATGGTTGCAAAAGCATTAGGAGTCATAAGTTTGGGTGCTGAACTATCGGATTTAGTCTCCACATCTTCCAGCTCGGTCAGACTCGTGTCCAGTCCACTTACATCTGACAAGCCGTCTTGGACACCTGTACAGAACGTGTATATATATTTTCTGAGTCGGATATTATAAAGGTTCAGATTTGAGTTCCACTACCGAGTCATGGCGTTAGAGGTAGTGGTAGCAGACAACTATCACTACCCCTAATGCCACTAGTACCCTTCTGATTGGTTAATCGAATATATCAAACGCATCTGGTTGGTTGATAGTCCCTTAATGGTAGCGAAAGTCAAATTTGAAACTCTATAATAAACGACTGATATACTGTAGCGAGGCAACTAACTCTATAGCCATAAACCGCGAAAAAGCGAGATGGATGCACAGAATAGTCTAATGAAAGTAGCCGTCGGCTTTTTTTGAAAATCCTGCAAAAGGTGAGTAGACCAACTAGAAAACCGTCCTATATTTCTTGCCGAGACTTCAGGTTTAATGAAATGGCATCTTTCGTTTTCAGGGACAGTTTCTCTGTTGATAAAATTTCATTCAACTCACCTGTTTCAGTGTTTGTCATTGCTGAAGCAGCGATACTGGCTGGACTCACTGGACGTACCGAGGCAAAGGGGTAGTATTGAACAGTCATTTCTTGCAATGCTCTGGAAAATTGTAGAAATACACGTGTCAGCTGCGGCGTACAGTAAATTTAGGTAACTCCGGGTGTTTATTATTAGGTGTAGACTAACCCAGTCGGCGAAAGACTTTCGCTTGAAAACATTTTGATGTTCTAACAAAGGCCTTTCGAGATACAAACTACTGTACGGCAGCTTATTGTAGGATAACACCAACACTGCACTTTAAAATATCTTTTTCAGGTAGTTCAGACAAAAAACAAGGCAGCTTATTGTAGGATACTACCAACACTGGACCTGCACTTTGAGATATCGTTTTCAGGTAGTTCCGACAAGAAAAAAAAAGGCAGTTTATCGTAGAATACTACCTACACTGGACCTGCACTTTGAGATATCTTTTTCAGGTAGTTCAGACAAAAAACAAGGAAGCTTATTGTAGGATAACACCAACACTGGACCTGCACTTTGAGATATCGTTTTCAGGTAGTTCCGACAAGAAAAAAAGGCAGTTTATCGTAGAATACTACCTACACTGGACCTGCACTTTGAGATATCTTTTTCAGGTAGTTCAGACAAAAAACAAGGAAGCTTATTGTAGGATAACACCAACACTGGACCTGCACTTTGAGATATCGTTTTCAGGTAGTTCCGACAAGAAAAAAAGGCAGTTTATCGTAGAATACTACCTACACTGGACCTGCACTTTGAGATATCTTTTTCAGGTAGTTCAGACAAAAAACAAGGAAGCTTATTGTAGGATAACACCAACACTGGACCTGCACTTTGAGATATCGTTTTCAGGTAGTTCCGACAAGAAAAAAAGGCAGTTTATCGTAGAATACTACCTACACTGGACCTGCACTTTGAGATATCTTTTTCAGGTAGTTCAGACAAAAAACAAGGAAGCTTATTGTAGGATAACACCAACACTGGACCTGCACTTTGAGATATCGTTTTCAGGTAGTTCCGACAAGAAAAAAAGGCAGTTTATCGTAGAATACTACCTACACTGGACCTGCACTTTGAGATATCTTTTTCAGGTAGTTCAGACAAAAAACAAGGAAGCTTATTGTAGGATAACACCAACACTGGACCTGCACTTTGAGATATCGTTTTCAGGTAGTTCCGACAAGAAAAAAAGGCAGTTTATCGTAGAATACT